CTTAGACAAGCACTATGGCATTTGGACAAGAACAAACTGGGAGGAGGGTAGAGAGAATAGTGCAACAATGAATGAATGGAAACCCAAAATCTCTGTAAATGTTTATGAAAATTAATAAAATATAATTATAGAAAAAAAAAGAACTAGATAGTGCCTGTGACTGCTCTGAAAGAGATCACAATAGGAGGTCTGCATAGAGTGAAAGGAAAACGTGGAACTCCACTTACTGATCTGACAGAGAATGACTGCATACTCGAGATGTGGCCCTCAGGCAGCCTTTGAGCCTTGAAATGAACTCAAGCCTGTGCCTCACAATTCTCAAGCACATGAGCTACTACTTAGTATGGAACTGGTACAGAAATCATTAGCAGTCAGTGAAAGAAAAATTACAAAGGCGGGTCATTTCAGTGAAACTGCTAAGATTTTTTAAATCTTGTATAGATTTATAGCAGGCAATGAATTTAACTACCCAAAATGACTCACAATGCTGAAACAGGTAGAAGCTAATCTTTAACCTAATCTGTACACAAAAGAATAAATCTTTCAAACATGCTAGCTTTAGAATAGCTGTGAAATACTATAGCTCTTACATATTTTGTTCTAAGTATTATTTGTATATAGCACCAGAAAAATTGAAAGCAAACAAATATTTCTTCCTTGGCTGATAACAAAACACACTGAATTATTTTGTTTTTTACTAATCCTTCTCCTTTTTTTGAATCCAACAAGTATTTGATTCTCCTATTTTAACTTGTTGTTACGGCCTTCTAATTCATAGCTGATCTTTCAGCGGGACTTCAGAAGCTGTAAATCGCACAGGAGGATACTGCCTATCTTTCTCCAACAGAGTAACTGGTGTATTTGGCAGCATAACTCCTAAGCACTAAACCACCAGAGCTGTACTTAACAGCATCTATTTTACACTTTGGTTTCACGGGTAAGCATCCCTGGCCTGAAGGCCAAATCAAGCCTACTAATGGTTTTTATACATAAAGGTTCATTGGAACACAGCCATGTTCATCATTACACATGCCCTCTATGGTTGCTTTCACAGGACAACTATAACAAAGGACTGGAATAACTGAGAGACTGACTATACAGGGCCTACAAAGTCTAAAATATTTACTATGTATTAGTTTCTAATGACCACTATAACAAATTACTACTAAGTGGCTGAAAACAGAAATGTATTGTCTCATGGTCTAAAGGTTAGAAGTCTAATATCAAATCAATGTGGTGGCAGGGCCACGCTGATCCTAAAAGTTCTATGAGAAGTCATTTCCTTGCCTCTTTTTTAGCTTTTAGTGGTTGCTGGCAACTCTTGGTTAGAAGCTCACTCTAATTTCAGCCTTCATCATCACATGCTACTCTTCCCATGTAGATGTATGTTTCTGAATCCAAATTTCCTCCTTTTAATAAGTATATCATTGATATCTGATTTAGTGCCTAGCCATATCCAGCATGTTTGTTGATTGTTGATATTATGTACTGGGGAGTTGCAAGAGACTCTTAGCTGACCTTCCAGCAGGTTTTCAGAAGCAGTAAATCACATAGGAGGTGACTGCCCACTTTTCTTCCACAGAGCAGCTGGCGGATTCAAACTGTGTACCTTCGGGTTAGCATCCTAACTCTTCACCTCTAGGCCACCTAAATTCCCTCTGAACAGCTTAACCAGTATGAGGTTATATTAACTTGATTACATTTGCAAAAATTCCATTTCCAAGTAAGATCACTTTCTCATTCTCTAAGTGGACATGAATTTTTGAGAATATTCTTCACTCCAATACATGAACCATAAAGAGGTTTGCTCACCCCATGTAAACAATCAACACATACCTTCTAACATTTTTTGAAATAACCAAGTAAGGAACAGATTGAGTGAGGTATTCTAAATGATAATTCCTAGTGTTATTTAATTTTCAAAACTACAGTTTGCCTTTATTCTGTAATTCTACGGGTTTTGATGGTGATTTCTAGGTAGCAATGAGAACAGTGCATCTGAAGTGCATTCCATGGTGAGGAACCACAAAGTAGTAAAATTTGCATATGATTAAAATATAACTGCTCTTTGCCATTTACAGTAAATTGTACAAATCATTGTGTTTTTTAATAGCATTTCCATCCAAGTCACAATTAAAACTTCCAATTTAAACAATCAAATTATATAGCAACATTCTATAGTGAACCACTGTGAAAACTACAAAGACATTTGTGTTGTCACTGTGCTCCTTTCAATTTTGGAGAAGCAAAAATGCTCCATGTCAGATATTTTCATAATGTTTGAGTCACATACACATGAACTACACCAGAAGACATTTACTTAATTGTTCCAAAAACATCTAGACTATCTTGCAAACCTATCACTCTTTCTTCCTCTTTTCCCAATCTCTTAATGAAATCAACCTTCATTTAGTTACTAAATTAAAAATCCTGGGGGTCATCTGATTTCTCCTTTCTCCTTCACATTAAAACACTAAGTTGTACTTCCTTTTTTTTTCCCAATTTTGGTCTTTATCCCTCTCATCAGTGTTGTAGTTAGAACATAATGATTTTTTTGTTTGTTTGTTTACATTATCCTTTTGCTAATAGGGTCGCTATGAGTCACGCTTGACTCAAGGCAATCAACAACGATCCTAGGCAGCTGAAAGTAGGACAATGAATAAGGATGTAAGAAAAATCGATGTCTTTGAATTGTGTTGGCAGAGAGTACTGAATATCCCACAGACTGAGGGACTCTTAGAGGCAAGGATGGTAAAACAGTCTCACATACTTTAAGCATGTTGTCAAGAGGGGCCAGTTCTTGGGAAAACATAAAGCTGGGGAAGATAGAGAGTGAGAGAAAGAAAGACCTTCAAGAAGACAGACTGACAAGGACTAGAGCATGTCTAGGATTGTGAGGACGGGGCAAAATAGGGCAAGGCTCAGATCTGCCATCCATGGGGTCGCAATGAGTAGCAGCAGTCCATGCAATGGCACACAACAACAACAACAATAGCAACAACACTATAATAGTTTTATAACTGGTATTTTGGGAGCGTGAGTGGTGCTGTGGTGAAAACACTCAGTTGCTAACTGAAAGTCTGGTGGTTCACACTTACCAGCCACCCTAAAGAGAGTGTGCCCTAGATGCAGAAATAGCATGTTCAGACCAAAAGTAAACACAAACCCATTGCCATTGCATCGTTTTGACTCAGAGTAGCTCTAAAGACAGAGTACAGCTGCTCCATAGAGTTTCCAAGGTAATGAATCTTTAGGGAAGAAAGCTCTAGTTTTTCATCTATCCTTTACAATGCAATTAAATGTCAGAAAGGTATTCCAGGAAGCCTTCAAATTTAGTTGCATTTAACAAGTATAAGGAGGAGGTATGAGGCATTTGAGACAGAGGAAACAATATAAACAAAAAAAGATCAGATAAATATTGAAACTGGTGTTGTTAGGTGCAATTAAATCAAATATAACTCATAGCGACCTTATAAACAAAAGATTTGAACCCTGTACTATCCTGTGCCATTCTAATCATCTCTGATTTACTTGAGCCCACTGCTGCACTCACCATATCAATCCATCTCATTGGGAGTCTTCCTCTTTTTTGTTGACCCTACACCCACCCAAGCACGATATAGCCCTTTCCAAAAACAGCGCCTCTAAGCAATATGTCCAAAGTATGAGAGATGAAGCTTTGCCATCCTGGCCTCCAAAGAGCACCCTGGCCATAACTTTTCTAAGACATAACTGTTCATTCTTTTGGCAGTCTTTGGGATATTCAGTACTCTTCCAGAACATCACAACTCAAACACATCAATTCTTCTTCTGTCATCCTTATTCACTATCCAGCTCTCAAATGCATAGAAGTGATTAAAAGACCATGCCTGTACCAGGTGCACCTTAGTCTTCAAATTGGCATCATTGCTCCTGAATATTTTGGAGAGATCCCTGACAGCATGCTTATCCAAAGCAGTATGTCTGTCTCCTTATCTCCTGAATGCTGGTGCCAAGAGTTGGAATGTGGACTGAAACTGTTAGGCGGAGCAAAATGGCTGACGTGGCATTTGTACAGATGTAAAAAGAAATAAAATGGGGAAAGTATCATACAGTATAAGATCAAAGATGTTTTTCATTTTCAAGCTACAATTCCATTTCTTACTTGTTCTCATATGCTAACTCAACCAAAATCTGGAAGATGTTTATTATCATTGTATATGCCAACTTCTCTATTATAATGCTGCTGAATGACAGTATTTCAGAAACTAAATAATGACCTGAAATATAGAGTTCTTAAGTCAAAGACTTTAATTAACTCCTTCCATTTTAAAATCCTCATCTCACAAGCCACTTCGTTGTCTAAACTTTTCTATCTGAAATTTTCACTACTAATCAAATATTCTTTCTCTTCTGGGCTCTCAAAACCCTATGTCCTTCTCTCTGAGTTCTGTTTTTGAATGTCTGATCAGGTTGGCTAACTATAAATTCTATATCCCAACTGTGAATAAAGTCACCAAGTTAGCACACTTACTTGTGCCCTGAAATGTCAAAATAAACTGGCTTAGAACAAAGAGGAAATGACACCGGAAAGACACGGCACTCTTTATTTTTGTAGTTTCAGGTAATTGCCGTGAAGAAGGACTGGGAGATGAAAACCATGTTTCAGTTTTGTAGTCATCTCTAAGGTAGCGCAGTGCATCATGCCTCTGACCTAAAGGTGAGCAGTTCGAATGCTGCAGTTGCTGTGAGGGGAGAAAAAGGGCAGTCTCTTCCCTTCAGAAACTCAATGGATATAGGTGCTGTGAGTGAAAACCAACTCAACAGCAGCAGGTTTGGAAGAGTCAACACTGTAGACCTTTATGCAGTTAAAGCAGCTTTCAGATGGTACGCTGGAATTCTAATACAACAGATCACAGTAGTAGCATGTAAATGTTTCTAGCATTACAGATGAAAAAGCTAACTAGGGCATGAAAACAGGGGAAAATATATATATAGTCAATGCTGGAGTAGCCACTCACCTGTCGAATTGACATGGTACAGAGAATATACAGGAAGATGAAGGAACAATCTGTGGTATCATCCCCTAGCAGGTTTCGATGAGACAGCCCTTGGATGTAGGAAAGGGGCGTGAAGGGGAGCTTTGCCACCACTCTACCATCAAATCTAAAAAGGAAAAAACAAATCATTGTTATTTTTGGAAGACTGACAAGTTTCTTGTTTCCAGAAAAGAATCTAGGACTGAAATAGAAGTTAATTCTCTTGATCTCCAAAGACAAAAAAAGAAAAAGAGGGGGGAAAAGGTAATATACTAAAAAGACATCTAAAGTAAAAGCATGTAAAGAAAGGGCCTGCATTATTCCCATCAATCTGTTTCTTTTTTTTCTTTCTTTTTTTTTTCCCCCATCAATCTGTTTCTAAATGGGTGGTTCTCATTTATGGTTTTTTTCCTATCAGGACAACCTTATACTGTAAAAAATTATTGGAAACCCCTAAAGAGCTTTTGTTTATGTAAATCTACCTGGCTACATTTACTATATTAGAAAATAAAATCAAGAAATGTTAAAGTATTAGTTAATTTTTAAACATATTGGTGAGAAGAGAGGTATGGTTTTGCAGTTTTTCAAATTTCCTTAAAGTTTATTAGCTTAATAAGGAATAAGTGAACTCTCATAGCTGCTTTGGCATTTAATCTTACACTACTTGAAGCCTCTAGAAACTCCACTGTAGACTCATGAACAGAATGAGAGTAGAAAACACAAATAATTTTTATTGTGAAAATAATTTTTATTTCAAAGATATTCTGCAAGAATTTCAGGTACCCAATGATCCCTAGAACATACTTTGAGAACTGATCTTCAAAACCATTATACCAGTGAGACTTTTCTCAGTGAACAACTCTCTTCCAAGACGCAAAGATTCCTGGTTTACACATTAAATAGGAGAAAACTCTAAATAGGAATTTGCATATTACACAATAGTGACTTTTAAAAATACTCGAGGACCACAACAAGATAAAGGAAAACAACCCAACTGATAAATGGACACAGGATATGAACAGACACTTCACCAAAGACATTCAGATGGCAAACAAACAAATGAAGAAATGTTCAAAATCCCTAGAACTAAGAGAGATGCAAATCAAAACAACTATGAGACATCATCTCACCCCAGTAAGAATAGCAAAATTTAACAGAACAGCAAACAAAAAATGCTGGCGAGGTTGCAGAGAAACTGGAACCCTTATTCACTGTTGGTGGAAGTATAAAATGGTGCAATCACTATGGAAGGCAGTATGGTGCTTTCTCAAAAAGTTGCAAATAGGAATACCATTTGACCCAGCAATTCCACTACTGGGAATATACCCCAAAGAAACCATAACCACTACTCACACAGATATGTGCACACCCATGTTTATTGTGGCTTTGTTCACAATAGTAAAGAGTTGGAAACAGCCCAAGTGCCCATGAACAAAGGAATGGATAAAGAAGCTGTGGTATATTCACACAATGGAATACTATGTTGCATTGAAAAATAAAGAACTCATGAAATCTTATACAAAATGGGTGACCCTGGAGGACATTATGCTGAGTGAAATATCTCAGTCACAAGAGGAAAAATACTGTGTAGTATCACTGTTGTAAAGTGGGACTGACATCAGGGTTGGGGGGAAACTAAGAGGGGATAAATAATGTATACTGCATTGAAACAGATGAGGGAGAGAACTGTTTAGGAGGAATATATGATTAGGTATTATAGTCATGATAGGAGTCCAGAATGAAAGCTGCATAGTGAAGTGAACTGGCAGGGGGGGGGGGGAAGGGGGGATGTTGTAGAACAATGAAAGGCAGTGGTGGGGTTTTGTGTGTTTTTTTACTTTTCAAAGAGGAAAGCAAACTGGGAGGGTGAGACGAGCAAGGAGGAAAATGTGCAACAATGAATGAGTGGAAATACAAAGTCTCCGTAAACTTTCATTAAAATAAAAGAAAAAGGGAAAGGACTATGAAACACTATGCTCTAAATTTTTCGAAAACAAACATGCTAAGAAAAAGAGCTACAGCAAAATCTATATCCATGTTTATGTTTAAATACTAGAGAGAATATCATTAATAGATATTTAAGCTATAATTTTAGAAAGAAGTAAAGCAGCGTCAGCTGAGTTATCCAAATAAAGTCTTCCATTTCCATTAAACAGCTAGAGAAGTCTATCTTAGAAAGAACATGTGGTATTTGGAATGTTTCTATCAGGAGGACTGTGCAACAGGATTTCCAAGGTTGTAATCTTTGCGGAAGCAGATTGTTAAATATTTTTCCCATTGAGAGGCTAATGGATTAAGTTGCCAGCCCTAAGATTAGCAGCAAAGCACTTAACCATTATCTCACTAGGGCTCTTTAAAGTAATCCTGATAGCACAGTAGGCAAAGCGTTGGGTTGAAAGGCCAGGAGCTTCAATGCACAAGCCATTCCAACAGGACACAGAAGAGGATCGTCTCCTCCCATTAAGATTTATAGCCTCAGAATCTCAATGGAGAATGGTCATGACTTGGAATTGACATGTCAGTGAGCTTGGTTTTCACAGGCCTATGAAAGCTGGGCAATGATTAAGGAAAACATAATCCCTTTGAATTATGGTGTTATTGAAGAATACTGACTGCCAAAAGAACAATCTGTTTTGGAAGAAGTGAAGCCAGAACATTCCTTAGAAGCCATGATGGTGAGGCTTTGTCTCATATACTTTGGGTACACTATCAGGAGGGGTCACTGCCTGAAAGAAGACATCATACTCTGTAAAAGGTAGAGAATCGATGAAAACCAAAGAACCTCAACTAGACGGAGTGACACAATGGCTCCAACAAAGCACAACAGGGCTTATGAGGATGTGCACAGACTATTTAGTTCCGTTCTACAAGCTAAGAGCTGGAACTGACTAGATGGAATTTAACTATGAGAGGGAGAAGCAAAGGGGGATAACAATATTGTTTTTCTTAAAAAAAAAATCACAATATTCACATCAACTACTATGGTTCTTAAAAGCTTTTTGCAAAACTTTCAATTCTCCAAAGAATAACTATAATAGAATTGCCTGTCTCATATACATATGAGTAAGCTGTGCCACCAATCCAAAGACATGCAGTCTGAATCCACAGCTGCTCCTTGGAAGAAAGATGGGCAATCTCTTCTCATAGGATTTAAAGCCTCAGAAACCCCAATGGATCAGCTGTGAGTCAGTTCCAAATGGATGGCAATGAAGTTATATATGTGATCATGCACTTGAAACTTCCATCTGCCTTCCTACTATCTATTTACAGACTGAAATGGCTTAGTGACAATAAGACTTATAATTGATAAAAAAAAATCTGAAGATTGACTTGATGTAAATATTTTCATTCCTTTTACTAACTTCAAAAAAGCCAAAGTAATTTTTCCAGGAGAAGAATAGTTTCATTTTATAAATTTTAATATCCATAAAAAGTATTAATTAAAATTGCTCCAATATTTTTATTAATTATAGTGCTGGAGATGAATACCTAGACTAACAACAATAACAAATATTCTCAGATTATATCCCATAGACAGTCACAAAATTGCCCATCTATGAAGTTCACGGTGAGATGAAGAGTGTCAAAGATGTTTATCTTTCCTATTGCTCAAACACAAAACCAAATAAATTAATTTTATTTAGTTTTAGAGAGCGTATGCATTTTATTTCAAGTAAATGGTTCATGTGCTTGGAGAAGTCCAATAATTTAATTTTATATCACTTTATTACTTGGTATTTTCAACTCAAAATTAAACCAGAAAGCAAATCTCCATCATCCTGTAAATGATTCAGTTACCTGAAACTAGGTATCTATGATCGAAAAGACTTTAAAGCAAAAATAACTAATTTTTTTAAAAATTCTAAAATAATTACTATTTCCCAGGTGACTAGAAGTTTACCACATAAGGAACAGCTGATGGAATTAAAACTTAATAAAGAAAAAAGCTGGCGAGAAAATGAGGATGAGACAAAGAGGAAGACAGCTTAGCACAGCAACTTCTTTAAGTGCTACTGGTTACACTCATTCTCTTCAATTACAGAGAGCAGAAAGGAACCACTACTAAGAAACAGAGGCATGAGAGGCATAGTCTAACCTGAAATTCTTTACAATTGGTAAAAACTATTCAATAAAAATATGAGTTATTCCAGAAAACTGTCAAGCTCCTCTTTTAATAATTAAACAAGATAGAATATTATCTGCTAGCACGTGTTGAAGGAATTTCTTTATTGAGAGAGAAGTTACGTATTAAATGACTTTCAAGATTTCTTCTAATTCCAAGATTCTATTATTATAGCTTGATGGAAATGATCCAGGAAGAAATAAAGAGAACAAACAAAGAGAAATAAATAGCTACAGATAGTACTTCGTATTGCTTTTCTGGCAATCTGGGAGCAAGTTTTTTCCTTCTTAGTCAAAACTTAGGCTTTTATTTTCTTAAAGCATCTTTCAGTTGCCAATGAATTTTAAAACTAAATGTGATTTCAGAGATTGTATATTTCAATGCACATCATTCAGATGACCTGAGAGAAATTCTGTTAAAGACTGAATGACTTCTGATTAGTATTATTAAGCTGTGCGTTAAAAACTCATCGTCGTTTTACAGGTTGGACTCAGTGACCTTCTAGCAAGTTTCCAAGGCTATAAATTATATGGGAAGAGACTGACAATTTTTCTCCTGAGAAGCTGCTGGCTGGATGTGAACCATCAGTGAAACTCAGCTCACAACTTGCTATGAACTATACCACCATAACTGTCTACACTGTGTATGTTAGACTTCCCATTTCATATGCCAGCTTATAAAAATACAGACACAGCCCTTAACTGTTATGTTGTGACATTATAACCATTTTTAAAAATACATAGGATCCAAAGGCTAGAACACATGAATATAAGGTCGAATATTTATATTATATAAGCCTCCACCAATACTAGAAAGCAAGACTACATAAGAAAATAAAAAGCTACTTTTTATTTTTTTTGTTTTTTTATCCTGTGTCATCCTCACAATCTCTGACACATTTGAGCCCACTGCTGCAGTCACTGTGTCAATCCACTTCTTTAGGGGTATTCTTTTTTTGTCATCCCTCACCTTCTCAAGTATGAGGTCCCTCTCAAGGAATAGTC